GAGAGAGAGAGAGAGAGAGAGAGAGAGAGAGAGAGAGAGAGAGAGAAACAATATTACGAAAGCGCCATATACATGTTCGAACAGGTTGCACCGTACGAATTTGTGTCAGAATACGAAAGATTAGTTGTTCTTACATTCATGTTCATAACGAGCCACTATTGACATGGAACATTTGAATTAGACTACTCCGTAATATCTATTAACATCACGATACTAATATACACTGTATATTTAAAGGTGGGAGTGATCGCAGGAAACAGGGAAGAGGAATGAGCTGCGGATGCTGCATACCACCAAGGTGCATCTAGAGTGAGTTTATTTTTGAATATCCGCGTAATCTTAATCACTTAATAACTAGATTAACTTGAGGGCTTTTTTATGTGTAAATACTTGTAAACGCTTGTAAAATGATTGATTTCGGTCGAGTGAAATTCTTCCGTGCTCTTCTGTCGTGAGTAGCTGGGCATCGAACTGGCCACGAAAGTTCTTATCTGAGACGTGTATGGAATTTTGCGTGAATATGCTTGTAAAACAATAACTTGTATTACTTGAAGAGATGTGGGTCGAAATTTCTTAATCTATAATATTTCGGATGGGTTTAATTTCTACGAAATTAAATAGACATGTGTTGCTGATATGAAACATATTTATTAAAAATCTAGCATTCTCTACGCCTACTACAGTAAATATCACAGGTACACGTTTCTCTATCACAAGATCCTCCGCTCGGTCATGTATTTTCGCGCGGTCGGTAATCACAAGCGCGCGCGTGTTTCCAAAATCGTCGAAATTGTCGTCTCGAAGGATTATCGTTATCCTTGTCACGTATGCGATTGTTTTGACCGGTGGAGAGATTCATATACAACAACGTAATCAGCGAGCGACGATTAGGCACGACTTCGCATTACCAATCGCCGTGCTCGCGCCGTACGGACAAAATAATTAAAAAAATCCTCGATAAAAGTATGAAATAAACAATAGAAAATATATCTAACTGTCGAGTAAATTAAAGCTTCAGCCGCGCGGGGCCGCGAGAAGAAAATATTACGTATCATATCGAGATCCCAGTGCTTCCGACTGTCGCGGAACGTTGACGATGATGTTGAGAGTGTAAAGCCGAAAGGTCGAAACGGAAGAGCTTGACGTCCGCGTCGGTGCATCGTTACTACCGTTACTCCGAGTGTTTTTGAGCAAATGGAACTCCTTAAGCCTATGTATCTTTTCTCCTCTTCGTCGTCGTCGTCTTCTTCTTCTTCATTTCTCCATCCTGATGACGGCTCTTTCTCTCTTCTTCTCTTCTTCTTCCTGCTCGGAATGCTTCTTGTTGCGTCCATTCGGTCATCCGTTCAGATCACAGACGAGATTGCAACACCGGTATCGAAGTTCGGGGTTCCCCTTACACCGGCTCTGAGGGTTGATGTTGACTCCGTTTCATCGGCTCCGACGGGTTTTACCAGGGTCGCCAGATAGGTTCGTTAGGCTTGGCTACCTGCAGGAGACCCTGGTGGCTCTGGGAGACAGCGGCTTCAATGTCGGTTCGTACTGGAGACGGTTGGCTCGACGCCGGTGTAAGCGGCATCGCGTACTCGTCGGAGCTGAGCTCGCTGGCCGAGGACGGCGAGGATTGCGGTGCGGCCACGTGAATGGTCAACGGTCCGGTCTTGTCCATGGAGTTGAGCTTATGGCCGAGATGTGTCATCAGCTTGGTGCCGAGGGCGACGTCGACGCCAGGAGTGGCGGCTAAGCAACGGCTGACCTCGTTCGCGCAGTGCGTGTAGCCGGCCCGGAAGCGGTCGGCGTCGATCACCGGGTTTGCCGAGAGACGCTGCTGACGTTGGAGCTTGTGCAGGTGACGCACCGTCAGCTCCAGGATGTCCGCTTTCTCCAACTTCGCGACGTTCTCGCCGTCGCCGGCCAGCGCAGTCACCATCAAATCCTTGAGCTCGTCCAAGCAGCGGTTGATGCGCGCTCGACGTTTGCGCTCTAACATCGGCTTCATCACCTATCAATCGAAAATTACGAGCGTAATTAATCTTGCGCTTGACTTTGGTATAGTCGATAAAATTGTCACAAAAGTGCCATCTCGCAAAAGAGAATTATTCGATTGAACTCGTATCAATTAAGCCATGTAAAGTGAGCCAAAGTGGCGGAATAGCTTCGAGTCTAATTAGAATCGAGAATAACTAGAATCGCGGCAACATGATATCGATACATACCTTTCGATACTGATAAGTCCTGGAGATCGGTTGCTCTTGGCCCTCGACCACGATGATCTGTTCGTGCATCTGCATGGTTAATCCTTTTTCTCCACGGATTCTTGCGGCACAATCAAAACTTCACTGACAACGATACAATAGCTTGTCGCGAACGCGGTATCGTGCTTTATCTCTCGTCACACACCGGTTCGGCGAACTTTAATCGTCGCTGTGGCGATTCACGTACGATTGGCGGAAGGAAACGTGCGTTCTAGAAATACGCGCCTCCAGCTCGACCTTCGTGAAGTAACAGCGTGATTGTGGTGGCGGTCGGGCGAGGCTGTGACTTATATAGGCCCTGGGTCCCCGGCAGGGCGAGACGAAGGGGCACGGTGGGCCGCATGGTGGGAGACAGGCCTTCCGTGGGAACGGTCCGTAGAGGTTGGTTCCCAAGCAAGCACACCACCTGTAAGCGGCAGCTGCCAGACACGCGCCCACACCAAGCCATCGTCACCGTTCCTTCGTCCTTGTTGCACCTAGCCGCGGAGTCGATGTTCCCTACCTCGGCTGATTGTCGACGAGTGGTCGTGCCACGGTATGCGTGGCTTGTAATCGTCGTCCCTCTTTCTCTTTCTCTCTTCCTCTCTCTCTCTTTCTCTCTCTCCCTTCCCGTCCCCCTTCCCTATCTATCCCTTTCTATCCTGTTCATCTATCTATCTAACCGACCACCCATACATCCATCTCTATCCCTCGCTCATTGGCGCGTATTTTCTCGTACGCTTATACGGAAGGACTAGATCTCGACGTACTTTCCTTGTCTTCGGGCAAAATAGAGAGCTGGCTTTCTTTGTCTCACTTGCGAGATACAGCACCTTCTTCTGCGATACGTAGCTTCCATGCTCGTGCTGCTGACTCTTCTTATCGAGATTCCGTACTCTCCCTCCTCCCCCTTCGTCCATTCCCTCGCTTCTGGTACTCCCGCTTCGCCGACCGAGGAACGTGCTGGGCACAAGTCTGGCACAACTCCGGCTCGTGATTGCAATCCCACCGGTTACACGGTGTTGAATCGTGCGCCATATCTATGTGTGTGCGCGCGTGTGTGCGTGTATGTCGTGTGCAGGTACACGTATTTGTAGCCGTCCGGTCCAGCCGCCGCCGCGGAATGGTATCGCGACCATCCGTGATGCTATTGATCGATCATTTTACGCGTATTAACGAAGGGGAGGGGGAGGTCGTGCACGAGCGGTAAAAGTCGTCGCTGCAAAAGGGTATGACAAATCGGTCGTTAGGCAGGTCGTGTAGCGGGGCGAGAAACGATTAATTAATTTCTCTCTGGCGCCGGTTTCTGTGTCGTTGAGTTCCCGCGAACGTGTCGCGGCAAGTGAACGGAATTTGATCTTAATATAATAACTCGTTACACTTTGTTCTGCCAACTATCGCGACGGTGGCTTGCACTTTTAACAGCGATATGAAAATTACGACGCTTAATACGCAAATAAGCATGCGCGCGTTGCCGCGCTATGACTATTACATCGTTCATGATGTTTTCGACGACACGGCGAATACCTCATTGAAACCTCACGATTATGCGCGATTACTATCACGAGCGCGCCAACAATAATTGCCGGGAACTAAGAAATAAAAGATGTCGACAGCGCGCGGATTTGCAAAAACGTCGCTTTCGCGGAAAGAACGAAACGCCCAGTTGGTTCATTCTATCATTGACTGGCGAAAATTGGTTGAAAGTGGGCCTTCGGCCGCGGCCTTAATTTCGCAGGGATGCTCGTAAAATCGTCCTTCCGCTCCTTATTCCTTTGGATAGTCATCGCGCGAAACGAGTATCTCGGGTACTCGCTCGCTCGCGCGCGCACATCCTGCGTGGACTTCGAGATACTAATTTCGGCGAGCCACTGACTGAATTATATCCTACATGGCCCATGCCGTCCCCCTACGTCTCCTCCTCTCTTTGCTATACTTCGTGTCTCTTCCTCCTTTTTTTTCTGCCTTTCGTCCGCTCGTTTTTCCTTTTCCGTTCTCCGTCTTCCCGTGGCCGACCGACCACTTTGCTTATTTCGCAGCGAGCCGGATACTTAAACGTCGTTCGCACCGAATAATTACGCGCGCTCGTTTCGAGCCCTTCTCTCCCTCTCTTCTCGTGCTCTTACGACCCTACGGCAATCTCCTCCTCTTCCTTCTCATTCTTCTTCTTCTTCTTCATCTTCTTCGCCTTTTCCTTCTCCTCTTGCTTCTTCTTTTTCGTCTTCTTCGTCTCCTTTATCTTCTTTTTCTTATGTTTGCTACTGCAGCGTTTACTAGACTACTTGTTCGGTTTTTGTTTCTCTCCCCAATCTTCTTTTCACTCTCTTTCTCCATCCTAGTTTTTCTAGCCTCCTCGAGTACCCTTCCTATGTCGGCTTATTGCACATATCGTTAAGGACGCGACAGTACTTTGATAAAATCTTACGTGATCGCCAGGTAGCACAGCTCGTTTCCTCTTTCGCTCGCACGTCCCGCGTCTTTGATCGAATCTTTTCGCCCCACGCGATCTCGTGGGACCTAATTAGCGTGATATCGTGGGACTTGAATGATTAAGACATGCAGGCCGCATGATGTAAATATAAAAAGCGGGCGTATTTGGTGAAAGCGGGGCCGGACATGATTTCAGAGAATTGTTGATTATTTTTATTATCTCGATTTTTGGACGCCTTTTGAGCTCTAATTAGATCCGCGCGCGTAGACTTTGCCAAATCATAGTTACGATTATGTGACCGATAACATGCCGTTAAATCGATACAGTGCTGTAAAGAGCAACTTTGTAATGACGTCACGTGTCGGATTAAACTAGAATCAGTTTCCTGTCGCACATTGGACTTCATTATTCGTCGCTTGTATGACATACGAACACACGTGAATGTGTTCGATGGACAATATACAATTGATTTCGCGTCACGCTCGATCCACGTGTCCGCGCCCTTCGCAGGCAACTCGCACGTGCTAACACGACGTAGCACGTGGCACGCGAGGTTAACAACGAGGCAAGCGGAAAGACGGAAGGAAGAAAGACAGGAAGGAAATGTCGCGATCGATTTTAAGTCGATGGATCAATTAGGAAATTGTTCAAACTGTCTACACGATACGTTATTGCAACATGTGACGTATGTATGTATCAGTTGTAGCAATTGCATTAGTAAATTTTAGGATTTAAACAGTCTATTTTTATCTGCAAAAGGACAATTAATTTTGTCTAAATCAATACAGTCGTAGAAACTTTGAAAAACAAGAAATGTTTAGTATCTTGGCATTTCTTCTGGTATCACATTTTGTTTCGAAAAAAATTCCACCGATTATCCGTTGTTTAATCGCAATTACGCGATGCAAGTCACGATGAAAAACGTGAAATGAAAATACATGAAGTGAAAATCTGGCGTCAAACTTTTCGAGTTACATAGCAACGCGTCGGTTCGCTCGTCCGATAAACTTTTCATTATAACGTTGTTGTAACAGATGTTGAGCCCACAGATGCGGCGGTGCACGAATTTTCTCACACTCTTATTCGCGAGGTTTTTACTTTCCCAGGTTCTCTCTCCGGCGTGTGTGTATGCACACGACGCCGCCGCATGCGGGGTCGTGTGATCGCGTGCCCGCTTCACCCGTGGAAAGATAGATATAGAGGGAGAGAGGGGAGAGTGAGAGAGAAACTTATTAGGAAGTATATCAGCTGTTCACAAGCATATGTCACGAGTCGTTTGGCTCGTGCCAATGTGCTCTCACGACCTCCCTTCTCTTTATTCTCCACCCTGTTAATATCCCCATGATATCAACCCCTCCTTGTAATGCATATTCAAGCGTCGATTAACGCCTCGCGGAATCCAAAGATAATATTACAAGTAGACATAGTAACAGAGCGTAATATTCGCGATAATTAAATAATCGTCCTCCTTTAAGAACATTAGAGTAACGTAACATACTTCGTGAATTATAATATGTGTCTGAAGCAGTCTTCAGAGGCGCAGGATAGACACCAGACGTGAAACATCGTGACAAATTGACCTGAAAAAATATTCATACACTGAGACAAAAATATTTGGTATTTGTAACTCTAATTATATAGAGAATTAATTACTGTGATCAAGAAAATTATTTTTTTACTAAATTTTATTATAACGTTAGTGACAATAACATGATACGCTACTACTATCATTTTCATATCAGAACAACCACAAAATATAGGGACCACAAGTAACTTTAACTAGATTAACCATTTTTCTCTCTCAGTATACAGTCAGTCTTTGAACAATATCGCGTTTCATTATACGCGCGCGCAAGTTTAGCATAGATAAATCACAACGCGACCGATTATCTGGTCGAATAGAGTAGGCAAGGCGTTAAGAAACGGTACCGTAATGGCGACAATATTGAGAGAAAAAGAAGAAGAAAAATGAGATGCGAGAACGGGACATTCTCACAGAGCATCGGGTTCACCTGGCGCCGTATGCACACACCGGAGCCCCTGCCGCGCACTTTGCCCTATTTAAACGACCTTCCCTCTACCTCAATTTCTTTTTTTTTTTTTTTTTTTTTTTAACAACACTGCTCCACGGCACGTGCTCATAATGCCGACACACGCCGGTGTTACTTCCGTATGCGCGCGGCGCGGCCTTTCACAACTTCCCGACGATATCCGGTAGAACCTGAATCACCGTGACCTCGCCGTGACCTCGGCGTCTACCTTCGGTGGATTCGTGGCTCGTGGCATAACCCGTTGTTCGCGAAATTGGAGTAGCCTCCAACCAATTGAAAGAATCCAAAACTCATAACCAGTTCACGCGTAGCGGTCGTTGCAATTCTAGCACATCGTGCTGTTTTACATAGAAATGTCTCGGGAAGATCGGGGTAGAAGGTCGAGGAGAGCGAAGAGATGTTGCACGATGGCCCGACATCGATTTCAGAAGTTGTCTCTCTGAGATTCTCAGTTGGCTGTTGTTTGTCGAAGGAGAAGTGACCGCGATAGGAGCCAAAGGCGCCCTTTGTGGGCGTCTCGGGGCCCAAGATTGCGCACGTGCTCGGCTTTCCCACGCGTATAACGCGCAGCCGGCCTGCGCCCGAAAGGGAGAGGACACCGAGACGGGAGAAGGATGGGGCCCGTTGCCGTAGGCCCATTGTGTCGAGCACGGGCCTCGAGACAGTGGAAAATTAGAGGCCTCCCCGCAGCCGTGGATTCCAGTCGCGCGCGAAATAGCCAAATGTACGCGTGCGAACTCCTTAATTCGTTCCATGATTCTAAAGGTGAATTTTTGTGATTAACGAACGGACGGCGCGTCGGGTCGGGCACTCGTCGAGATGAGTATTATTGTGGCACACGAACGTACACGCGCGCGATATGACATTTGCCCGCTAAAGCAACAACGCGAGCCGCGTGACGCAGCCTTTAACAATGCATGGACCATCTACGTCGGACGTGTCCGCAGGTAT